TTCCTCTGGTCTCTTATATGAAAAAGTGACATGAATAAGGTTTAAAAATGAAATGTGATGAGAATGTCACAAACAAGCAACAATCACACTTACAAATTCCATTTTTATGTGGAGATTCTACTTTTTTTTTATTTCGTGTAAAATGGTTTTTGTCTGTTACTGTCAAATTTGCCATTTTTTATTGACTAGTAGTGTTGTTTAATGTTTAATGCTAACTAGCAAGATGTTTACGCTAGTCAGCCAGTCTAACGTTTGACCAGAAATACAATTATCCTCTTGGACAAAATTATTACCAACTCACATTTCCTTTCTTTCTTTTTTTGCCCATTAGAAGAACTCAATGAGCTGCTGTCATCCCGGCTTCGACTCCCGCTTCACTCAGCCAGCCTGTCTGGCCCCCCTGAGGGGAGGGGCTGTGTCGGTGAGAAGTCTGCAGTTTCTTTCAAAATAAAAGCTCGCTAGTCAAATATTTCAAAATCTTTTTTTTTCTTCTCCATACAAATGCGCGTTTGTCCAATGTTGGAGGGGACACGTCCCACCCGTCCCCCCCGGTTCCTACGCCCTTGGATGGCAGAGCGAAAGAGTGTGGGTTTAGTTTAGAGATTGCACCATGTTAATGTTTTATATGAATAAACTGAATACCAAAAATGGTATTAACTATTAAGAAAAACAAGGAAGGTCCAGATTAATAACCCACTGTTGTGGTTCTTTGCTTCTTGTCTTGAAATCAACCAGTACATTTGCATCTCTAGAAGTATGGCGTTCTCCTGGTCACACAGCACCATTTTACAAGTCCCCGTTTCAGTATCTTGATCAATAATATTCAGATTTTCACAGAATCTGAAAGTACGATTCTCACAAATGAGCTATTCAGTCATGCTGTTCTAACCTGCACTAGTTGCCATAGCTACCACTGGTGTCTTATTGTTAATAACATATAACTGCTAAATAAAGACAGGGCCATTTATGTCCTTACCCTCTCCTATTCAAATGAGATTTTAAACTAAATGATCCCTACTCATTTTCATTTTGTTGATCGGTGCAATTATTCCTTCAACGAATAAGAAAAAACAAAAATGAATATACGTTTTTGACCTTGAAGGACCCTTGAGGATGACGAACCCATGAAGCCGATGGTTTCATAGCAATCGGTGGGCAGAGAGCCGGGCTGGTAGAAAATGAAGACAAAGGAGGATTGCAGGTCCATTTGTGTAAAGGTTAGGGCTAGGGTAATGAATACTCTGGCTATATGGAGCTCCTGATGTCTGCTTCCCTCCAGCTGCCTATAAGCTCATTTGGAGTGACACCGGAGTAATGTCAGTGTCAAGGAAGTACAGCGAGAGGCAAACAGAGAGGGAGAGGAGAGGGGAAAAGCAGGTAGCAGCAAAGAGTCCGTGTCCTTTTTCCTTCTATAGATAATCCTCTCTGCCAGGATGGGAATTATCCAGCACTTATCCATAATTACTTTTCTCCCTCAGTCTCCATATCTAACACAAGGTGTGACAAATTGATGTACACAGCATGTATATTTTCACCTGCAGAATAATGCCCATGGTAATATTTTGGGAGGATTTTTAAGGTAAAACAAAATCAACACAGTGTGCAACAATTCACACTGGGGCAGCAGTAGCTCAGGTGGTAGAGCGGGTTGCCTTATGACCGGAGGGTCATGGGTTCGATTCCAGCTCCCGCCAGGGGTATCCTGCTGTTGTGTCCTTGGGCAAGACACTTCGCCCAACTTGCCTGTGTTAGTGGTGGTCAGAGGGGCCGACGGCGCCAAATGGCAGCCTCGCCTCTGTCAGACCTCCCCAGGGCGGCTGTGGCTACAAGTAGCTTACCATCACTAGCAGTGTGTGAATGTGAGAGTGTGTGAAAGCGTCTTTGGGTGTCTAGAAAAGCACTATGTAAGTTCAATGCATTATTATTATAATTCAGTACCATCATAACGATGTGTTGTTGGATTTTTGGGAGAAAAAGATGCTTGATTTACGACAGAAAAGACAAGACGGTAAAGAAAATGAGCCTTGCAAAGGAAACAAATAAAATGAAAAAATTTTGAGGAACAAGTTTGGGCCTTTCCACTGCTTTAGAGGTCCTACGAAGCTCACTGAAGAGTTCTTTAGCCTTTCATCGTTTCCTTGTTAATGCTGTCGGCCTTTGTTTGGCCCATTATGTATTTTTCCTTGCCAGATGGTTTGCCACCTCAATGATCTGAAAAGCTGTTGCAGAAAAAGTGCTTGGAAATGAGGAAACACACGCCAATACTGTTTGACAAGTGATTAGATGAATCACGTGTTCATCTGTTCCTGATCTATTTTTTCAACCAGATCACTGAACTGGAAAAAGCTGGTAACTCTTGTGGGAAACCAATTGGGAGAAAAATGTCTCTGGAATAAAAAAAAAAAAAAAAAAACATTAAATTATGTTCTTTGATGTAACTGCTGTTACAAACACAAACAAATCTGGTATGGCTAAATCGATGACACCACAGTTTCATTGATAAGCATCGTCTGCTGCATAACACTGATTGGTATGCAACTATGGGATAACAATTACCCTAACAATATAGACTATTAAGCAATTAGACATGTGCAATCGTAGCTGCATTTCTGATGGGAGTTGTTACGGTGGCTTGTGTTTAGATACAACGCTGCCATTTTTCCTTCAGCACCTGTTGGTGATGTAATGTAAATATTATCACTAAATTGAGGTAGTGCATCAAGCTTTTTTTCCAGCTACATTGAGTCTTTTCATACCAAAAGCACTGTTTGGTGATCTCACTCACTCATTTTCTGAATCACTTTTCCTCAATGGGGGTGTTGGTGTAAATCTCCCACAGTCATTTGGAGAGAGGAAGGGGACACCCTGGACAGGCCGCCCTTCCATCACAGAAACACAGACACACAACCAGACACACACACCTAGAGACAATTTAGAGTCGCCAACTGACCTAACTTGCATGTTTTTAGTTTTTGGGAGGAACTGGCATACCTGAAGAAATCCGATGCATGAGGAGAATGGCCAAAACTGCATAGAAAGGCTTTGGACTATTTGGTAAATTGTTTAGGAGTATAACAATACATTGATACACATCAAATCAATACATTGATTATAGGAAATCTAAGTGTTCCCCCCTTCTGGTCGGCTCCAGGGTCCTGGGAACAACAGAAAAATTAATGTAAGTGAATGAGGTTATGTGCAAATTCTCTTTGTCTTACACAATAAATCACGTATATGTAGTTCTTCAATTTAAATGCAAAAGAACTGTGTGTGATTCACATATGTCTTTTGGGTACTTTTAGATTTTTTTAGCTTGTAAAAATGTGTAAATAAAACCAAGACAAACCAGTTGTTGCAAACGTGACATCCATCCATTTTCTTTATCCGGCTATCTATGTAGGGTCGCGAGGGGCCTGGTGCCTATCTCCAGCGGTCTATGGGCAGATAGGCGGGGTACACCCTGGACAGGTTGCCAGTCGCGTATATGACGTTGCCGCAGAATACCCCCCCCACCCCCACCCCCCATCAAAAACTATGAAGGCACATCTGTCTTCTCCTTAACACAGACAGTACCCATGGTGTTTGAGCTTAGAGAACCAAAAAGACCCAGCATTGGGTAATTTCTACATCAAGATCCATGAGGTAATTTTAACAAGACACTACAAAGTATCTACCGGTACATTGCATTTTACTGCATATTATGTACACGTACACACACACACACACACACACACACACACACACACACACACACACACACACACACACACACACACACACACACACACACACACATATGGCTTCAACACTCTTCATAAAATCCATCAAAATTAATGGATACTGACAATGTATCTCTTTTTTCTAATACTATTCAAGTAAAGTTCAAGGCCCAGATTATTTCTTTAACATGTTCACACCAGCAAACATGTCAAAGAGGGGGGTGGGTGAGTCCATGAAAACTAATTTTACAGAGTGACATAGAACTGTCTGGCTTTCTCTGACCTGAGAGTTTCCCTGTCCGTTTTCTTTCAGCAGCTAATGCAGGAAATAGAGGTAGAAGACTATTTTCGTGTTCACAATTCACATAAATCTCAGTGTGATGGATTGTACATCCCAAAAAAATGTACTATACGTGCATCAGTGAACCTTCACTTCAAGCAAAAACTATGTACTATATGTAGTGTTTGAAATAAATGCTAGGAAAGAATCTTAGCTCCTGCAACACCAATGTTTATCTCAATGGCGGGGCAGTTCTTCTTGTGGTTGTTAAACTGTGGTTCAGTTGGGAGTGGTGTCCATCTTGAATTGGATTGACTCCCAAAATAAACTCCGTTGTAGATAAATGTTTGTACGTGGGATTAAAATCTGAGCTGTTGTTCAGGTGTTTGCCTTTCACCAAAGGGCGATGATTGTAGATAAACTGGTGACCATTGAAAGGGCAATAGAATAATTACAAATACAGGAAGATTTGATAATAAACCAATAAGATCAATCAGTATTGACTGGTAAATGAAAATAAGGTGTACTGATTACAGATAACAGACAGGCATGAATGTAAGGACTAATGAGGAGATAAATGGGCTAAAATAGTTCCATGACTTATAGCGGTACGGTTTAACCCCCAGAAACCCAAATTTAGAAAACAACAGCAAAATCCTTTTTTTTTACCTTTCACATGTTTTTCTAGGAGGCCAGATAAACGGGCCTATTTACACATTTTAACAGCCAATAGTGTTGCAGAACTGGACAATAGGACCTATTAGCAATGTAAATGTGGTTTTTAAAATAAAAAAATGGGGAAGGTTTATTTTAGTAGACTTAAATCTGATGTTGTAATATTACAACCGTGGGTCTCACAACAACATAAGTTCGACATAGTCAGAAACTTTTTTTTATCTAAGACATTGGGAGTGAAACTTCTCTGAGTACCTAAGGGGAATCACAAAGGGAATCAATAAAAAATGAGCTACAGCAGAGCGGGTCATTTTACTGAGTCTTACCCGCAACGTGTTAACTTGGGGGCTGTTCTGTAAAAACTCCCAAACGCGTGGTCCAAGTTCATCCCAAGAATCAGCGAGCTCTTTCAACATAGCCAGGGAGTCGAATGTGCTGTTCGCCTGAAACAATAAGACAGAAAAATTAAAAGCCAACATTTAGAAGCAAATTATTCGACTAACCCTCCCCTGGTGGAAAACAGTGAAGTTTGTGTTTGTGCCAAATCTGAACAGACATTAAAGCGCTTCACATCTTCTCTCTCTCTCTGGAAGAACTCATGACATTGCTGCTCTGCTGCCTCCCACCCCACCCCTCCTCTCTCCCCTGATGGTGATGAATGTAAATAGGGTTATTTACTCCAGAACACTGACTTGTAAACAATCTACGTCTGGTGTGAAAAGCAGAAACACCGAGTCGCTTGCCGTGACGCCAGCAGGTTGAGCTCGCCCTCATTATGTAATCACAATGCAAATTCCACCCTGCACGTCTTGCTTGTTTTGCCTCTGTCGTTATCAAAAGGGTGTCGATCTCTTGCAGAAATATCATGTCATGCAGTAACAAAACATGAATTAGATTTTGCAAAGAGGCTTTCTATCTAAATAGTTTTCTTGCCAAGGTGGTAAAGTGTGACATGGAGATTTATCCACCCACATATTTGGAAGCGATCTCCCATTAAAGCAAATTGTCTGCAAGAAATATTTAAATATTTGCTACCTTATTCTTTTTACCCCCCCCCCCCCCCCCCCCTTTCCTAATGGGTGTGACCTCACGAAGAAAGTTGAGCATTGAGCTGGGTTGATGGTTTATCCTTTGGTCCATGTGGCAGGGGTGAGACGTGAGCACCACCTCTCCCCTGCCACGCAGACCTCAAGGGATAGACCATCAATCCTGGTCAATGGTCAACTTTCCTGGCAGGGTCACCCATAATGACAGTGGGAGGGTTAATGTTTCCTGCTTTTTTTCCCCTGCTAATGTCAATATTTATCAAAAATCCGATTAATTACTATAAACTGCTATTAAAAACGGCAATATCATTTATAATCAATATTTCAATCATAAACAATACAATAAACAAACCCTTTGGGCAAAAAATGACCTTCCAAGAAAGAGTCACTGAGCCACTTCTGACAATAAAGAAATAAAACTCAAGACCCATCTCACTGTTGCCATAACACCCTAGATGTAAAACATGTTGGTGGCAGTGTGATGGTATGGGCTCTTTTGCTGCCTCAGGACCTGGACTAATTGTATTTGATGCAACCATGAATGCAGCTCTTTATTATTACAAACTTAATAGCAAGTAATCACAGGGTGCACAACATACATTACTCTTGTAATAAAAGTAGGTGATAGAACATGTAGCATGTACTGTATATTTCTGTGTGCAATAATTTTGCTCCAAGCAAAGGCAGGAACACATCTTGGGAATTCACATAATATTCAGTTTGCAACTGAGTAACAGGAACTAGAAAATAAAAATAATACAGCAATCAGGTTTGGTAGCTACCCTCACCAGCCTCTAACTACTAACCCTAGCCATAATAAATCAGTCTTGATATCATTTTAATATCATTATTTTCAGTTTTTGACCAGATTTCATTATTTAATGAAATATTTTGAATTAAAGATGGTACCTTATTCGTTTTACTTTTAAATAGTAAATAGAAAATCTCGATGGAAACTTTCTGACTTTGACCTTGAAAAGGTTGCAGCTATCAAATGTTTTAGTATTTGAATATTCTATTGAATGCTGTCAAATAATCAAACATTCTGTTTGATGACGTGCTGCTAAAAATATGAAAATATAACATCAAAATGATAAAAGTGCCAACAATGTGTATTAAATTAGTTTTGTCTATTTCTCTCTTTCCCAGCTTATATTTCCAGTTAATCAATAGTTTATGGAACACAATTTGACTTATATTTCATTAACAAACATTTGTAGTAATATCACTCACCCTAGTCTAATCATAGCTAAATTTATCCACAAATCAATCAATAGAATTTAATTATTTTATTAACGTGTTCAGTAGTAATCTACTGGAAATGCTGTTAACATTTAATGTCTACTAGTTATAATGTAATGGCAATGGTGGCATATCTGTTTTATAATGTATGGGTTGGCAACATAATTCAGTATGTATTCAAGTGTACAGGTGCTGGCCAGTAAATTAGAATATCATCAAAAGGTTGAAAATATTTCAGTAATTCCATTCAAAACGTGAAACTTGTACATTATATTCATGCAATGCACACAGACCAATGTATTTCCGATGTTTATTACGTTTAATTTTGATATTTATAGGTGACAACCAATGAAAACATCAAATCTGGTATCTCAGAAAATTAGAATATTCTAAAGGCCAATGAAAAAATGTTTGTTTCTCTAATGTTGGCCAACTGAAAAGAATGAACATGAAAAGAATGTGCATGTATAGCACTCAATACTTAGTCGGGGCTCCTTTTGCCTCAATAACTGCAGTAATGCGGCGTGGCATGGACTCGATCAGTCTGTGGCACTGCTCAGGTGTTATGAGAGCCCAGGTTGCTCTGATAGTCGTCTTCAGCTCCTCTGCATTGTTGGGTCTAGCGTATTGCATCCTCCGCTTCACAATACCCCATAGATTTTCTATGGGGTTAAGGTCAGGCGAGTTTGCTGGCCAATCAAGGACAGGGATACCATGGTCCTTGAACCAGGTGCTGGTGGTTTTGGCACTGTGTGCAGGTGCCAAGTCCTGTTGAAAGGTGAAGTCTGCATCCCCATAAAGTTGGTCAGCAGCAGGAAGCATGAAGTGCTCTAAAACTTCCTGGTAGACGGCTGCATTGACCCTGGACCTCAGGAAACAGAGTGGGCCAACACCGGCAGATGACATGGCACCCCACACCATCACTGACGGTGGAAACTTTACACTGGACCTCATGCAACGTGGATTCTGTGCTTCTCCGCTCTTCCTCCAGACTCTGGGTCCTTGATTTCCAAAGGAAATGCAGAACTTGCTTTCATCAGAAAACATAACTTTGGACCACTCAGCATCAGTCCAGTCCTTTTTGTCCTTGGCCCAGGCGAGACGCTTCTTGCGCTGTTTCTTGTTCAAGAGTGGCTTGACACACGGAATGCGACACCTGAATCCCATGTCTTTCATGAGTCTCCTCGTGGTGGTTCTTGAAGCGCTGACTCCAGCTGCAGTCCACTCTTTGTGGATCTCCCCCACATTTTTGAATGGGTTTGTCGTCACAATTCTCTGCAGGGTGCGGTTATCCCTAGAGCTTGTACACTTTTTTCTACCACATTTTTTCCGTCCCTTCGCCTGTCTGTTAATGTGCTTGGACACAGAGCTCTGCGAACAGCCAGCTTCTTTAGCAATCACCTTTTTTGTCTTGCCCTCCTTGTGCAAGGTGTCAATGATTGTCTTTTGGACAGCTGTTAAGTCAGAAGTCTTCCCCATGATTGTGGTGCCTTCAAAACAAGACTGAGGGACCTTTTAAAGGCCTTTGCAGGTGTTTTGAGTAAATCAGCTGATTAGAGTGGCAGCAGGTGTCTTCTATATTCAGCCTTTTCAGAATATTCTAATTTTTTGAGATACCAAATTTGGAGTTTTCATTAGTTGTCACTTATGAATATCAAATTTAAATGTAATGAACATTGGAAATACATTGGTCTGTGTGCATTGCATGAATATAATGTACAAGTTTCACGTTTTGAATGGAATTACTGAAATATTTTCAACCTTTTGATGATATTCTAATTTACTGGCCAGCACCTGTAGAAGCATTTGTGAATTACATGCTACAACAGCTTGCCATAGACCTGCTGCAGTGTGTGGGGCAGACTCGAGTTGTTGACTCTCAGTGGCAACAACAGCAGTGCTGCAGCTGCAGACATCCACTCATAAACGGGATGGCGGTTTACTTATTCACAACCACCGTGTTCTTTTCCCAAACACCACTTGATCGTGAGCGTGCTACACACTAGCATTGGCATTAGCCAATCAGCTCGTAGTTTCACTCTTGAGTCCACTCTATGGACCGTTTCTGCCTTTTACAATTGCTCATGTCTTTGCTGGATTCTCAGTTTTCCTCCACAGCACCTAGATTACTACATTGTGCACCAGTAAAATGTATTCAAACTGTGGTGTGCACATTTAACAAACCTTTGAATTGGTAAAAAAAAAAATAGTCGAGGAATTTAATCAATCGAACCATTCGATGATTCGTTTCAGCCCTGACTGTTCATGCTGGAAGACCCTCCAATGTGGCTGAAAGAAAACAGTTCTCCCCTAAAGTTTTTCCTTGAGGACCCCTTTTCCCGTGTCAAAGACAAGGCAGGACCCTGAACCCTAACTCCTACATGTGCACACAGGTGACATGTGATCATTTACAAACTTAAAACTGGCATAGTGCATAGGAAAGAAAAAATAAGAATAGAAAAAGGAAAAAAAAAGGAAAAAGTAAATAAAAAAGAAAAGAAACCAAAAAGAAAGAAAAACAGGCATAGTGTTATATCTTCAATGTGGAGCTTTGATCTTACTGTTGGGTGTGCCATTGGGGATTATTATAAATGTAATTTTTACAAACTAAATCTTGCTAACGTCACAACATTTGCATAGACACATTTGTGGGGACCCCTTGGGTTCCCAGACCCCAGTTTCGGAACCGTTGCCCTAAAGAAAAGTGAAAACAAAATAAAACAGAATAACACAAAACTCCTCCACAGAGATGCCAGAGTTTTGTCGCCAGCTATCATAAACAGTTGATTTCAAGGGTGTTCCAACCAGATCTTGGGTTTAGGGGTCAATAACCTTTTCACACCAGACCAGATTTATAATTTGTATTTTCCCATTTTTAATGATATCGTCATTGTAAAACTGTGTTTCGTATTGACTCAGATTTTTTTTTTTTGCTGATCTAAGTGTGACAAAGTAAAAGCAAAAGAAAGGGGCCAGTCACTTATCCAAAGATTTGTATATCTTCAAATACATATGGACATAGTATCATCTTCAGAGAGCACTAAAAATTAGACAGAACATAACATATATTTTCCTACCTCCTTCACCAGAAGGCGAGCAGCAGGTGTATCAGGTGTGTACAGGACCTTCCCTCTCACTAATGGTCTGAAGGTGCTCCAAATGTAGCGCAGACCAGGTGTGCCCTCCAGGGTGCTGATAAGATTCTGACAAAACCCATCTGCAGAAGAGAGGAAGAGAGCAGAGAAGTTAGAAAAAGTCAAATGGAAAGCCGCAGAAAATTCCAACTGTTTGCACTGCCTGTCCGTGGGAGAAAATAACAGCATGTTTTATATACTGCCGCCTTCTTAAGCTTTGAAATTTACATTAAATTCTGAAGCAAACACATTTTTTTTAAATAATAAATTATGCAAACATCTTCTTAATTAAAAACTTGCCAATCTGTCCGGGGAGAGTGGGTTGAGGAAACAACTTATTAAAGCAGAAATTAGAAAATTTCATCAAACAGCCACATGTCTGAAGAACTGAAAAAGACTTTCCTCCTTCATAAATAACCTGATCAGCTGTGTGTTTATGATGGAAATAAACAATAATTACTAAAGAATAATGTGCTACCAGTAAAGATTGAAGAAGAGAGTAAAAGACAGTAAACGGGTCTTTTGTAAACCAGTAAATTTGTTGATTTCAGGCAGTCCCAGGGCAACTGAAACTGACTGAAGAATGTATCTGTTAGTCGTGAATTGCCCTTCTGTGCTTGAAAGTTAGATTTGGCCTCCAAATGTCAACATTGTCCCTTTTTTGTCATATGAAACATACCAGTTTAAAAACACCAGTATAAACCCAAAGACATAAACAAATGTCTAAAGGTGTGCCAGTGTAATGTTCCAAAAGGGTCAATTTTCACCTATATATTGATCAACATAATAACCTTTCATCTACAGAAATAAATCCACTTTCTTTGTGGCCTTCTAAATCCAGAAGGTTTTGCTCAGCGCATGCTGATATTCCATAAAGACAAAACATACAAATAAACATTCTCTTCCAAGGTTCCTGCACTCTCTATGAACGCCAGATGTCAACATTCTTACTCTGAATAAGTGAAGACTCCACGATGTTATAGTTATAAGTTAAATAATCATATATGATGAATGGCCCAGATGTTTAAATCAAATGTTTGAATAACCTGTGCTTAAATCAATAATTTTGAAATGAATATTGTTCTTACAATGATCTATTTATATCACAAATCACTATGCGTTTGATTAATCAAGTTAATCATTGCTTACACTCATACACATTACAATAAGATACATATTAGGGTTGAAATGCACCTCACATAAATGTTTAAGACATTCTCATTCACAGTGTTAAAAAAACATCTTCTTATCGGCAAGAAGACGTGGCTTTCTGAGGAATGTTTTGGTAAAACCTTCAAAAAATTCAGTCCCCCCCACCCCCAATCGGCCACATCAGGAAAGAAGCCTCTGAAACACACTCCTTCGATCTTCAGTCAAAACCTTTCTGCAAGCTGCAAGTGATTACAGACACAGCAGCTTTTTTCAGAGATGCTTCAACACTCAGAAGTCCACCTTGGACACCTAATCTGCAGACCCCGGGTTGCATCTCATGGCCGGGGAAGCTGAACTCAGAGGAAGCTGCTAATCTCTGAGTATTGTGGTTTTGACATCCGTGACCTCACCACTCGGACCGCATCCCTCCTCGTAAGCCTGCATACTGGTGTCTGATGAGGTTTATAAATAAACAACTCTCTAGTTTAAAACAAACAACAAATTCTTTTACACCCAGATTTCACAATTTCTCTCAGATACAAAAAACGGTTGCAACAACATCTAGCTTCCATCACAACACCTCACTTCCACCACACCACATCTCATTATTCATATCTTGTTGTGTATCATTAGTTTAGGAAAAATTATTAAATTCATTTTATAAACTATATACTGACTCTGTCTGGTTTAATACGAAGTGTGTTTATGGTCCCTGAATAAGCAAAGAGCCCTAGAATCTTCTGAATAAACATTCAAAGATCAACCAGATAGATATTTCATTTTGTATGGAATCTTACATCTTATTGGTCATAATTAAAAATGTATTTTACTACACCAGGATGTCAGGAGAAAACCCCCTCCTACGTCTATATACAGTAAAGTGTTGTTGCAATCACAACACTTGAGAACAAAACTAAAGACTCCTTGTAAAAGTCTTGATTAAGTGTCCTTGTTTGTCTATTTGACAGACACAATCACAGCTGGCTATACTGTTGTTGACATTTATCGACCACTGTGCAACACTTTTAGAAGCACTTTGACCCAACAAAACCCGACAACTGCTTTGACCACTAAGGAACAGTACTCTGGAATGAACCGATTCTCAGCATTCAGTCTGTTGATTGAAGCATTTTGTTGAAAGGGACACAAAATTACCAGATAACATGGAACCATGTGGACCAACATATTCTTGAACTTAGCCGAGGCCTCATTTTTACTTTTTCCCAAATAATGACTAAAAGTGTCATCGACTGTGTCAGCCTTCGTCTGGAAGAATTTGGGGTAGAAATATCATTCAGAGTGTACTATCTAATCTTTTAACAAGTTTATTTCTGTGGAAATAAACTTCATGTTACAACTAAAAACTCATCGGGTTTTTGGATAACATTAAACAATAGTGTCTAAACTATTCTTAGTGAAATATGGTACTTTGGAGGTCTCCTTTGAAGGTAACTTTTACATTGAATTTATGTCATCTGTGTCCAGAAACTTGTTATTTTGATCATGACAACAGGGGACAGACGTAGTTCAGAAGTAGAGCGGGTTGTCCAGAAATTGGAAGGTTCAGTCCTGGCTCCCACCAGAGAATGCTGCTGTTGTGTCCTTGGGCAAGACACTTAAATTTGCCTTGCCTGCTGGTGGTGGTCAGAGGGACCTACGGTGCTTGTATATGGCAAGCGTTGCCTCTGTCAGTGCGCCACAGGGCAGCTGCGGTTACAACGTAGCTCATCATCGCTAGCATGTGAATGGGTGAATGACTGATAGTGTTGTAAAGTCTCTTGGGGGGTTATAGAACCCTTTGCTTGAGGCCGAGAATCCCAACCTGTAGTGAGCTTTCCATATTTTTGGTTGAGAACCAGGACCACTTGAGGCAGAGGACTCTCATTACTCTCAGCTACAAACCATCACAATGCATGTTGAATGCATGTCAGCTTGCCAAAAAGGCTCAAGGTTACAGAGGCTTCGCTCCGGACGGCCGTTCCGGAGCTCTTTCTCTAGAACTGAATGCTGAGTGATGGAAAGCTGGAATGCGACTCCGACTGCTGAATCACTGAGTGATTCTGTTTTAATATTCTCATATTATGATTTTCTTGGCCAATCAGAGCATGCCAAGTTAAGGGATATTACCAAGACAACCTCAGAAAACACGCCTTCTTGAGATACGGATGCTCTGATTTGGGGTAAGGAAATATCTATGTGTCATGAGTTTAACTTAACTTTAATTTGTCCTTGTGTCTGAGTGCAGGTGGTGATTGCCTTGTCATTTCAAACATTTAACAGCAGAGTTTTTCTAGTAGAACGTGGCCTTTCTCAGCAAAGCTTTTTTCTAAATCTGATCCTGAGACGTAACCAAAGGGAGTTAGAAGCTAGGCGCTGCCTCAGCTCAGTGTGAAGAGTGGCTGGTTTTAGGGTAGAGAGTTCATGTGATCCAGTCAGTGTGTGTGTTTACTAGTGTTGGATTGTGTTCATGTTAATAAACTATATAGTCTGTGAAGGCTGTATCAACTCCAGCCTGTCTGGACGAGTCCACGGGTTTCCAGATAAGAGAAACAACGCATCTATCTCCGTGTCTGAGGGTGTTTTGTGCAGCTGAAAAGACGGACTTCTGTAGCCCCCATCGATCGGTACCGGGACAGGGAGGTCCGCGCTGGACTCTGGAGATCCGTGGCGAGGTTTAAAAAATGTATTGCGGATTTCTGAAGCTCCGATCACCGTCAGAACCAGGTCAGAACCGACCACCAGAAGAGACGTGCAGCAAACCGGGCCAGCTGGTTTCCGGGTTGGAACCGGATCAGAACCGCCGCCTGGACCACCAGGAGAGGATGCGCGGCTTTTAAAAATACCAGCTCAACTGTCTCACTCGTGTTTGAGTCAAATCCAGCTCACAGAAGCCCGCATGAGCTCCAGAACCGGATCACAGGCATCTCTCTCTCAGCTCAGCGGACCAGCCGAGCAAGCTTTCTGGGTCGGAACCAGATCAGAACCACCATGGACCTCTAGGGAAGGATCGTGTTCAGCTTTTTAAAATATCAGCTCAACTGGCTCGCTGGTGTCTGGGTGGGATCCAGCTCACAGAATCCCGCATGAGCTCCAGAACCGGATGACAGGCGTCTCTCTCCCTTTCTCTAAGCTAAACTACGATACGTGAACGGATATTAGCGAGTATGAGACTGCCGAGAGATTCTCATTAGTATTAATATTACATTAACTGACCGATACTATTTTAATTGTCTGGTACATGATAGTAATCTGTATTATATTGTGATGTTAGCACACGAGTTTAAGCTAACATCGCTAACTCCCCTGCTGCTTCCCTGCTGCTACTCCTCAATGTCTCTGCTTTGGCCGATCGTTTCTCCCTCTGGTTGGTCTCTGCTCTCTGGGGCGTGCAGCAAACTCATAACTTTATGGTTTTGGTCCATCATGAGTATAATTGTAAACATTTAAAGTTTCCTCTGTGTCAGAGCTGGCATTATAATCTATGTTTCACTGGATTAAGCTAACAGGACTCCCCTCAGATGGCGTCACTTGGTTTGGCCAAAAAAAAAAAACTCTCACAAAAAAGACTCTAAAAGCCTAAATAATTTACGTTTGTGTAAAAAAATGTTTTAACCGAGTTTCTATTATATTTTTCTAAACATTGGTTCATGGGAGTCTCTAACCTGCAATTTGCTCTTTAAGCACATATTAATCAAAACATTATTATTATTATTATTATTATTATTATTATTATTATTATACGAATGATTAACTCATATAAGCTGAAAAAGCCACTCTTATAACAGTCCAATCCGGCCTAGATAACCAGGCAGGCTTGGCACAGAAGGGCCTTGAGAAGGGAACAGTATTGTTGACACTTTGTTATCATGTGTTCCAAGCTGTAGAGAGGCCCCAGCTGATGGAATAGCAGGACCCGGCAGATTAAAGGCAA